CTTGAACCACAGCACCACTTTTGGCTTTTTCTGTGATTAATTGGAGATAGACTCAAAGACTTTCTTGCCCAGGCTGGCTTAGCTGTGATCCTCAGATCTCCGTCTTCTGAGTAACTAGGATTACAAGCATGAGCCACTGGCACCTGGTATATGGTGCTTTTTTAAAATTAATTTTTAAATTGTTATTAGAAAAGTGATGTACAGAGGAGTTACTGTTTTATAAGTTGGGTAATGAGTGCATTTCTTTTTGGACAGTGTCCTCCCTTCCTTTGTTCTCTCTCAATTTTCCCCTTCCATCCCCACCCACAAGTTGTAAAGTTCATTTTCAACATAGTGTCTGCCAAATACCACTACTGCAGGCTTGGAGGTTTTTTTTTTGTTTGTTTGTTTTTATCAGTCGTGGGGCTTGAATTCCGGGCCTGGGCACTGTCCCTGAGCAGTTCAGCTCAAGGCTAGCGCTCTACCACTTGAGTCAGAATGCCACTTCCAGTTTTCTGGTGGTTTATTGGAGATAAGAGTCTCACAGACTTTCCTGCCCAGCCTGGCTTTGAACCATGATCCTTAGATCTCAGCCTCCTGAGTAGCTAGGATTACAGGCATGAGCCACTAGCACCTGGCTGGTTTTTTTGTTTTTTTGTTTTTTTTTAATAAAGAAGGCCAGATCGGGGCTGGGAAGGTGGCTTAGTGGTAGTGTGCTTGCCTTGTATGCATGAGGCCCTGGGTTTGATTACTCAGCACCACATAGGCAGAAAAAGCCAGAAGTGGTGGTGTGGCTCAAGTGGTGGAGTGCTAGCCTTGAGCTGAAATGCTGAGGGACAGCGCCCAGACCCAGAGTTCAGGCCCCATGATCACCACCACAATCACCATCATCACCACCACCACCAACAAAAAGAAGGCCAGTTCCACAGGCAATATTGGGATATTGGGTGCACACTCACTGAGGGCACCTTCCCCCTTGGCATGAATTTTCCTTAAATGACTGGCCTTGATAACTGGGGAGTCTAGAATAATAACTACCTGCTAAAAGGGCAACCTTTATGTCAGCTGACATCCCCTCATTGCCTGAGGGCAGTAAACTTTGTGTGTGTGTGTGTGTGTGTGTGTGTGTGTGTGTGTGTGTGTGTGTGTGTGAAAGAGAGATAGAGATAGAGATAGATAGATAGAGAGAGAGAGATCACTGTAACCCCAGGCATCATAGTTAGTCTCTAGGAGTGGGACCCTGCATAGTTTGGCTGATTCTTGTGTGTGCCAGGCCTCCAAAGCCACTGGGGTAGAATATGTCTCCATGAAGGATCAGCACCAGGGCCTAACTAAACAAATGGCTTGTGCTCACTGTGTAAGAACCCCAAGTGCAAGCCAGAGTCTGGTTCCATCATTTTTGAGGTGTGGAGAGAGGAGATCTCCTGCTCTCATCCAAGACTGTTATACTGATAGTAATGAACCCGGGCACAATCAGCCAGCCTTGTCAGATTGTAAAGTTCAATCCTATCCTATAATTGCTTGAGATTTGTATCATTTTCACATACTTCCTTCCTGTTTTCCCTCAAGCCATCAAAAATGTGGTGACTATATCTTCAATGTTTGTCTTTCTTTGTTATCACAGATGTAAATTACATGGAGACTATATGTATACAACATCTTGCTTTATGTATTTTAAAACTGTGTGAGTGGCTCTTGCTATATGTAAGTAAAAAAGGATGAAGTAATATTATAGTAATTTTGAGATGTATCCTTGTGAAGTCACAGAGCTCTATGTCATTAATTTCCTCTGCTGCGTTATCTTTGGGCACTTGTGTCCATGTTGGTTGTTTCTGCCCCTGGGCTGCGGAAGGAATGAGCAGATTCCTGGTACATGTGAAGGATGGTACCAAGAGTTCTGTTGGGGAGGGTGCCACTAGGCCTTGGGAAATTCTTGCTCACCTGACATTAACTCCTCTCAGTCTCTGCCCCCCTCCCCAAGCTGGGAAGATCACACTACACACACTGGTGTGTAGCAGTGCTACTGTCATATTTTCTACCAAGATAGGAGTTTTTCTTTGTCACATTTCACTTTGAAGTTACCTTGAATGGAGTTATGTCTGTTCCTAGCCCTTGCCAACCTATGCTGCCTGAACTCTGCTATTTTTTAAAATTGTACTGGGGCTTGAATTCAGGCCTGACATTTTCACTTGACTTTTTCACTCAAAGCTGGGACTTTACCGCTTGAACCCATTGGTAGAGCCATTTAATGTGAAACAAGAGGATTACAGCGTTTTCTGCCTGGGCTGGCTTTGAACTAAAATTACAGGCATGAGCCACCAATGCCTAGTGCTGCCTGGATTCTAAAAACTCTAGGTTATTTGTGTTCTGGCAAATATCTTTCATCTCCCTGCAGTTTTCAGGAATCCACATACATGAGGAGCAGGGGTCTGTGGTATCCAACCTCAAAAACCTCGCTAGAGGACCCTACTCACATGGTGTACTAGGTGCTACTCATAGTCTGTAGGTTCCCAGAAGGGCAGCCTGGTGCAATCTGGTGAGAACGCACAGCAATGGAGGGGGCTGAGAGCATGGCTGGACAGATGGACAGAAGGGAGGCAGTGTGGCAGACCCCCTAGTAAGTTCCTTCAGAGGAGACTCTGAGACCTGTAATTCAGGTTGGCCAGCACAGCTGTGCCTCAGGTAGCATCCTTGCTGAGATTCTAGGTGGTGGTGGTGGGGAGGTCTGAGGTTCTTTTTCAGTGACCATCTTATCAGAGTGTGATATACAGCCTGGATTTTGTTACCTGTGTGGTGTAGCTTGGACAATCTGGATACAGGGCTCAGCCAGCTTGCAGCATAGCCTTGTTTTCTGTCAACAGACATACTAGAAGGTCATTTACCGTGGCATTCTTGGTGACTGGCAGAACAACCAACAGGTGGCCAGTACTAAACCAATATTGCAGGTTTTATGTCATATTTTAGAGATCATTTGTTTTCTTGCTACAGTTCACTCACCCAATTACCTATGGATTCAACAAATGTGTGGACCCTTGCCATATTCCAGTCACCATGCCCCAGTTTCCTTTCCTGTAACATGGGATTTCTGTGGGAGAATGTTTGGAAGGTCTTTCTTCTGAATCCTTGCCCCAGACAATTCACTGCATGAGTTCCTCAAATAACCAGAAGAGGGCGCTCCAGGATTGAGGATCATTCTGGCAGGCCTCTCACCCATTCCTTCAGGACAGCTCATGCTCCAAGATGGTGCCCTGCTAGGAGAGGGGAAACCAGGATAGTAGAGACAATTGCCATGCAGAGGCTCTTAGTCATCCAGGCTCTCAGTGCTTACCCAGGATTTCTCTCTGGCTCCTGTTCCCTAATCCTTGCCACCCCACCTCTGTCAACCCCATGAAGGTCTCACTTAGTGGCTAGGGGGAAAGAAGCCAAATGTTGATATGGAAAACACTTGCTCTGTATTTTGGAGTGCAATTGAACCTACCTCTAGGGCTCCCTGAAAGTATCTCACTACCAGCCCCGGAGGTATCCCCTGGGACTTGTGAGTCTGGCCTCACTCATCTACCTGCCAGCTTTCATGCCAGGCCTTGAGATTGTAGCCCACAATTGGCAGAAGTATGGTAGAACCTCCTGTTCCTAACCCTATGTGTACAGCCTGGACTTGGGTCAGGCCCTCAAGATGGAGGCACACACATTTCCTAACTCAGAGGAGAGTACCAGCCTGGAAAGACAAGGAGATTCTACCCGAGGAAACTGGAGGTGGGAGTCAGGCTTAAGTCAGGTAGAGGATGGTGCCTTCAGTGTGTGTGTGTGTTGGGGGGGGGACTGGCAAAGGATATTTAAGGCAGAGAAAACAAGAGTGGACATGGGGGATGGGAAGAGCCAGTAGGGAGACCCAACATTGGGGATTGGAGAGTCTAGGGTCTTCCATAATGATGGAGCCCTCATGAGGCTCTGGGAATAAGAGGAAGCCTCTGTTCCTTGAACACACCAAGAAGGAAGGTAGAATACTACTTTCTCTGTAGCTGGGTATTTTTAGGTTAAAGATGCTCACGGTGAAAGCCCTGCTCATTTTCACAGTTGGTATTAAAAGCACAAAATAAGCCTCAGTGATTTCCAGTCACATGTTATTTCATCTTAAATCAGAGTGCCTTTGGGTTCTTGCCATTTAGTGATGTGGGAAGGTGGGAAAGAAATCCTCCCTGGCCAGGACCAGGTCTGTGTGTGTCTGAGTACGTGTATCTACACAGAGGTGCCTGTGTTTGTGTCCATGTGCACATGTGTATGTCATACTCTCCACTCAGGTTCTGCTTTTGGGGAAGAGGCTGCAGGGTAACTCTGGGCTCTGAGCTCTCCCCCTGCATCCCTGTCCCATCCAGGTACAGGGCAGGACAGAGCCCCAGGGCTCCAGAAGGTACTACACCCTTCCTCTAGGGGGAGTACATTTCTTTGGTTTGGGGAAATAAATCCCTGACCAATTGCTTCATGACCTAAAGGGACCCAATGCTGGGTACCTTTCCTCATCGGTAAAAAGAGTCACCTCACCACTGGTGAGCTGCAGCGGCACATGGACACACCACCTTGCCTTCTAATCACTGTTTTCACTCGACCCCAAGATGCCGCTTACCACACAAGCAGGCTTTGGGTCCCTGGGAACACCTCCTTTGCAGCACCCTGCAGGGGCTGCCTTATAGTGAGATGGCTCCTTCCCAACAAGGTGTCCCTCTGTGGTGAGGGGAGGACTCAGCCCTCCATAGAGGTGGCTGTGGGAAGATGGCTGTGGGAGCAGTAGGCCATCATCACCCCCTAACCTTTTGCTTCTTCCATCCTCCTAAGGTTACTCTTGGCATTCATTTCAAAGTGGCATTCATTTCAAATGTGTGGAGATGTGGAGGGAGGGAGGAGAGGAGCCTGAGAATGGAAGGTGTCCCCAGTGGTCCTCCCTGCCCCCATGACACCAAGTGTAGCACACACCAGTCACACACACAGTACACTGAAGCAAGATTTGGCTTCATTCAGGGTATTTTATTTTCTTAAAGTAGACAATCTTTGACTTTCATATGGTCACCAGCTCCTCTTTTCCCTCTGTATCTCTCTTCAAGTCCTTGGCTGTGATTCTGCTCACTGCCCTTGGACACATGGGTACTGAACAAGGGGAGAGGAGCTCTGGCAAGGGCTCTGGTGGGAACCTCCCTTTCTCAGCAGCAGGGGGATGGGAGGCGTATTTACATGGGGCCCTGGGCCAAGGTCCTTTCAAGGCCAGTGTCCAAGGGCCCTGGGACAGGATGGGAAGGCCCAGAGTACATGGTCCCAGCAGGGCCTCCCTCAGGCCACAACACTGACTAGGCCTTCACAGGAGTAGCAGCTCCCAGCCTGTGGACGGCTGGGGGCAGGCAGGGACCGGGGAAGTGGGGTGGGGAAGCGCCATCTCTCGCCTCCCCTTCCTTCATTCAGCAAAGCCACAAATAATTTACGCTTTAAATACCAAGACATTTAGCTATTGTTCATTCGCTCCTAGGTGAAGAACCTTTCTTTAAATACGTCACATTTATTTTTCTTAAATAAAAACAAAGCAGGAAACTGCACCAATAACAAGAGGACACTGCAGAGGCTTATATACAAGTGTCCCACAAGGTGGCACAGGACGGCCATTCACCCCATAATTCTTTGGAGCAGAGGGACAGAATCATCCAGATAACAACTTTTATACTCCGCAAGCCAGACACAAAAAGGACCACCTGAAAAAAATTATATTTTGAAAATCTGCATTTAAAAAAGAATACTCAATTGCATTGGAAATTTCTGTAGTTCTGTGAACTACCACAAGATTTGGCAAAAAAAAAAAAAAAAAAAAAAAAGATGTCAGAGAAGAAAAACTAGGTTTTGGTTTATAAAACATCAGACTAGTAGAAGAAAAGCTGGAAAGCCAGCTGGCCTAGTTTGAAGGAATATGTGCCACTCATTTGCTTGTGTGGATTTTCGCTGCATATTTTGAAGCTGTTTAAAACCAGTTGGGAGTGGCTGGAGATCTGGTTAGTGCTGTTAACCTGGCCCCTTAGGTCCCAGGTCTGAGACAAACACTGTGCAGAGAGGCTATGGTGTCAGATGCGGCCAAGCAGGGAAGGGACACATCCCTGCTCTGATCCTCACTACTGCTCAGTGGCAAGGTCCCCAGTCCAGCACTTGGGTGGTGAGCTGGCCTTCTTCTGAGTGATGGGCACCACTGGCTCAACTTAGCCCAGACCCTGCCGCCTTTCCCCAGAAGTCCAACGCGGACCCCATGCAGACTGGGGCCAATTCAAGAAGGCAGAGTGAAGGGACAGAATGGCCTTGGAGTGAACTTGTGACAGTAGCTTCCTATGTCCTCAAGAGACCTCAATGCTTTGGAGAACTTTGACATCTCCAGATTTGTGTGTGTGTGTGTGTGTGTGTGTGTGTGTGTGTGCGCCTGTGTGGCTACCTACCTAGCAATCTATCCATATATATTTGTTTGCAGAAACCTGAGGCCAAGGAGGCCAAGGCCAAGGGACGGGGGGGATGACATTCTTCAGGCCCCCCCATTTTCTGCCCTTGAGTTGGGCCTCTCTAGCACGAGTCGGGGTGTAACACCCCGTGGGTTTCACCACAGGCAAGCCAGACAGGCCTGGCTCCTCAGCATAAGCCAATGTACTTGAGATTGTTCTGTATTATGACGTCTGTCACAGCGTCAAAGACAAACTGGATGTTACTGGTGTCGGTGGCGCAGGTGAAGTGCGAGTAGATTTCCTTGGTCTCCTTGTTGCGGTTCAGATCCTCAAACTGCCGCTGGACGTACACGGCGGCCTCCTCATACGTGTTCTGGCCCTTGTACTCCGGGAAGCAGACTGTGAGCGGGATGCGCCGGATCTTCTCCGCCAGCAGGTCCTTCTTGTTCAGGAAGAGGATGAGTGAGGTGTTGATGAACCAGTTGTTGTTGCAGATGGAGTCAAAAAGGCGCAGGCTCTCTGCCATTCGACTCTGGGTGGAGGTGGAGAAAAGTGCTTGGCATGAGTCAGGGGATGCAGCAAACAGTGATCCTAGCCCTACAGCCCTGCCAGGAGGAAGGCTCCCTTAGCAGGATCTGCCAGCCCAATGCTGGCCCCTGAGAAAGCATCCTCTTGCACCAGGAGCCCCTTCCTCTATCAGGTCAAATGGGTTTATCCATCTTCCTTAGAAACAGCTGATGCTGCCTACATCACTGAGAGCCTTCTATGTGATTGGAAGGGGCTTTCTCCCCTTTGGGGCCCCTCCTCAAGTGGAGATGATCACTGGTGTAGCCTCAGGGCTGTGGCAGTGCCCAGCACAGTCCCTTCATAGCCTTACCCATTGTCTCCAATCTGTCCCCAGCCCAGCCCAGCCCAGCTCGGCCCTGTATTGAAGCCTGTCTTCCATGGGAGCTGCTGTCAGATCATGGGAAGTCTAGGTTTCACGTGGTACTTTGAGACTTATGATCCTACCATATGGCACCTTTGAGGGGCAGCATGTACTTCCTTTTATAACCCGAATATCCAGTTTCCAGGAGCTGGGAGTAAAGCACCAGCCCTATGCCAGCTGCGTCTCCCTGCCCTCCCTGGTGGCCTGGATAGGGCAGGCTCAGCATATGCAGAGAGGGGTGGGGCAGCACCCAGGGGACAGCTGTACCAAGTCACAGAGCAGTCCCTCATACTTTACCTTTCTTACTTTTTCTTGGCAGTACCGGGGTCTGAATTCAGGGCCTCATGCTTGCGATGCAGGCAGCCACTGAGCTACTCCACTACTCATGTCTGTGTTTGTTAAGTTTTGAAATAGTCAGAGCTGGTCTAGATGGTGATACTACTTGTGCTTCCCAGCATTTCTGGGATGACAGGCATGTACCACCGTACCTGGGAATGGAGTCTTGCCAAAACTTTTTGGGCATGGGCTGGTCTTGAACCATGACCTCTTATTGTTTGCTTTTCAAGTAGCTGCAATTACAGGTTTCAGCTCCTGCATCCAGCTTTTCTCTCTCCTTTGAGAATTTTCAGTAACCGGGCTTAAAGGACTGTATTGCTTTTTTTTTTTGGCTTCCAAACCCATGACTTCCCCACAAGATAATTTTTTTTTGTTGTTGGTTGTGGGGCCTGAACTCTGGGCCTGGGCGCTTTCCCTCAGGTCTTCAGCTCAAGGCTAACGCTCTACCACTTGAGCCACAGTGCCACTTCCAGTTTTCTAGTGGTTTATTTGAGGTATGTGTCTCATGGACTTGCTTGCCCAGGCTGGCTTTGAACTGCAATCCTCAGATCTCAGCCTCCTGAGTAGCTAGGATTACAGGAGTGAGCAACCGGTACCCGGCAAGATTGACAATTCTTGCTCCAGTAAGGAATTAACTACTCAGAACTGCCACTTGGTAATCACTGCTGGTGAACTGTCCTTCCAATTCACCTTCCCCCATTTCTGACTCCTACTTTACAGACAAACGGACTTGGAAAGCAGGAAGTGCTCTAAGCCCCTTGGCCAGGAGTTTTGGGCTTATGGCTCCTGCTGGGTAAACCCAAAGAAAGCTGCCATGAGGTGGGGATGTCCAGGAGGATCCCACACAGAAACTTTTCCCAGAGCCTGTGTTCTTAAGGTATAGGCTTTGCAGTTTCTATGCTGAGAAGAAAATGGGAGCCTGCGTCCACCTAGGAGCCCTTGTTTTTTCAAATCCAATCCTGTTCCTTCTTTAAAATAAGCTCGGGATAAGAGAAACTCCAAAAAGCCTGGGGTATGAGCTGGAACTGACCTGTCTGTAGAGAATTCTCAGGAGGCAGGTCCCCAGTTCTAGTAGTACCTCTCAGGGAGCTAGCACCCCTCCACAGCTGGACCTGGATGCCAGCTTCTAGAGGCAAGATCAGTGGTGGTCTAGGAATGTCACATTCTACTGGGAGAATCATTATCTCTAATGGATTCCTGGAAACCACTTTATAAAGATGACTGTGGGAATGGAGCTGTCACTTCTCATAGAAATGATGTCATAATTGGGGGCTATGCTTCTGAATCTAAATTCTGTATCAGATATGGCTATTAACACATATTTGTCAATTCGCTGAGCACTTGCTGAGCATGTTCTGGGCCCAAAGGCCATGGGCAGGCTCAGGGCTCTTCTGCGAGGTATGGAGCCGAGCTGGGAGTCTTGAGGCTGACAGCTTTGGAGTTGCAGGAGCAGAGCCTTGCAGGGAAAGCAGGCTCCTTCTAGGGGTGGGCCAGCCTGTGAGATGGATGGTTTGGCCATCAGTAGAGCATGTCCTGGGGTTCAAAGGCTAGCACAAAGTTGGGGTAAGGGCTGGCCTCAAGTCATTCTGGGTTGCTTGGGATGACAGCAGAGAGTGTGTCTTATATCCTGCTCAGCCTAGAAGCTCTTGGTCAGAAATCGGAGGATGACCAAGAGCTCAGCTGCTGAGCCCTGTGAGAAGTACAACAGACTATTTGGACTGTCTTGGGACTGTCCCATCACTGAAGCCATCTTGGCCACTCTTCTCTTGGGCTCCACTATCCTAATCCACCATGAATCCCTTCAACCCCAGTGGTCTGAACTGCTTCCTTGACAATGACTCAACACTGTGGGGACCCTAAAGCTTTAAGCTCATGCATTTGACTCAGACCACAGAAAGGCAGACATGTTTCTTACAGGGTAGCAGAAGGAAGGCCCATTGTCCTTGACTACAGTGTTTTGCACACACACCCCATCCTCACACCCCACAGCAACTTTTGCTTTGCTGGTACTTGGGGGCCTCCTGGCTTCTTCTCTGTTACTTAGGACAAATCATGGTGAATCAAGTTGACCATCATTTAGTGGGCTGCCACTAAATGACGGGCCTCAAAGAATATTAGTAAAATGTTCTTTGTGGAGTCACCTGCATCTTTGGTCTCATCATCTGCCCAGCAGAATTCAGGAGAGCCAGGGTATTCAGTCCCTCTGCTGGCTTAATCCTTGCTGCATACAGACACCCCACTGCTGGAAGATGGATGCGTGTACACACTGGGAAGGCTTCCCAGAAGGCCCAGCACAGTTGGGGTGGTGCTGTGATGTCCCCCTCACAGGGTCTGAGGGACTGGCAAGAGTGAGGCAGAAGCTGTGTCCTATCCAGTTTGTACATAGCCCAGAGGCCCGTGGCTGTCAGAGATGGGGCAGGGAGGCTTAGGAACCACAGGCAGTCAGTGAGGACCCGGCTAAAGCTAACAAGAAAAGCCTGTAACTAAGTAAGCTAGCGGAAGTGTGTGTGTGGGAGCCCTATTTTGTCCCGTGCCTGCCAACGGGTGTGTTCCAGTGTTCTTGCAGCCCCACTTGCAGACAAGTAGGCAGACTGAAACAAACACAACCATTGAAGGAGCATGTGCTATTTCAGGATGTAACTCTGGAAACTACGTTAAGGGTGCACGAGTATGAGCATGGGAGGACTGAAGCCAGGCCATGCCTCTTGCCTGGGCTCCCGGCCTTCTGCAGCACCTCCCACCCGTGCATGTTGGGCTCCCCCGGTGGGACCTTACCCCAGGCTCCTCCCTGCAGCCCATCCACCTCCCTGCAGTCTGTGGAAGATCCTAGTTCCAGGCTGGTCTTTGGAGTTTCCTCACCCCCTCAGTGGGCATGCATGGCCTGGGAGGAGTTCTACCTATTTCCCTCTATTTCAGCCCATTTGCTGTTATGGGGTAGAGTTGCTATGAGGGGTCTGAAGGTGGTAGGTCAGTATTGGACACTATCCAAGCAGCCTGATGGGGGCTGCTGGGTACCAGGGCAAGGACCCAGGCAGCACTGGAGTTATCTAACTGACCACTTTTACCACATCCCATGTCCAGTAATGACATTCTTCTCAGTGACCTGAGTAGAGAGCTGCCCCTGCTGCCAGGGGAAGGCTTCCATTTCACGTGCTTTCCAGGCTCAGTGGAGAACCCTGTTTTTCATCAGCCACAATGTCTCTTCCAGCAAAAAAGTTCCCTTGCTTTTAGCTCTGCAGCTGTAGTTGGAGGAGCCACAGTTGGAAGTGCAGTTGACACTGGTTGCTGCAATGCCAGCCCAGGACTAATGCCCACTCAGCTCTCTTCAGGGCCTACTCAGCAGTGAGATGGCACCTTCTAGGAGGCTGGGGCATGCCTGCATATTTACATAAGTAACACAGAGCAGATGATTCCCGATAGGAGCCTGGGCACCACTCCCTGGGGTGATATAGTCATTTTGTGGTCATTTATGAGAAATAAGATCTTCAGATAGGTCTAAATACATTTAATGCTACGGAACCTATTTTACCCCCAAGTGACACCTGCCTGAGCCTGTTTCATCACCACTGAGAGTGGGGTATGTGTGTATGTGAGATCTCATGCCTGCTCCCCCACCCCCATTTGTGGCCATAGGGCTTGAACTCAGGGCCTGGGCACTGTCCCTGAGCTCTTTTGCTCAAGGCTAGTGCTGTGCCACTTTGAGCCACAGCTCCATTTCTGGTTTAATGGTAATTAATTGGAGTTAAGAGTCTCAGACTTTCCTGTCTGGGCTTGGACTGTGCTTCTCAGATCTTAGCCTCTTGAGAGGCTGTTCAGATGCATAAACAGATGCAGACACTCTGGGTATGCACACAAGGCCTTGAGTCCACTCTTCATGCTAGAGTTTGCTTTTCCCTGGGCAAGTTATTTTGCCCTCTCTGGGCTTCAGTTTCTTTATCTGCAAGATGCCAGGGCTATTGTGAGGACTTCCTCTACTACTGAGGTCTGTGGGAGGGGCTTCAGTGGGATGGAAGTGGCCTTGACTCTTCAAACCAGAGTGAGCTAGTGACAGAACACCTCAGTGCCAGCCACAGGACCAGGTTGGCCTGGCTTTGAGACTCCAGAGATCAGATGGCCAAGGCCACACTGCTGACCACGTGGACCTTGTAACATGCTGGCCAGCCTGTGATGTGTGGTCCCTTATTCCACATTGGGTTAGTCTCCTTGCATTGGGGACTTTCGTCCCTCCCCGAATACCCCTCCTTGCTTCTCCCAGTGTGTGGGATATT